GTTTTTCACACACCCAAAAAAACAAAAAGTAATCCTATATTGTCGTCCATTAATAAGACAAGAATTAAAAATTTAACTCCTAGAAAAAAAAATTGTACAAAATAACCAAAAGTCAGTGGCATACTATTTCAAAATTAAAAGCACGTCTAAACATTTCAAAAGATAAACTTAAAATGGCTTTTTAACTTTTAATGTCTGATATGTTCAGAAAACTTGAAAATAAGTTGGATCCTGCAGGTATTAGCTTTTTTAAAAATACAATGTTTAATTCAACATTAAAAAAACCTATGTGGACTATACAAGACAAAACTTTTGCACTTGCTATACATAGTAAATCCCCTAAGTGCTACAGATTATTAAAAAAAAATATACCTTTACCTTCCAGATCCACATTAAATTATACATTAAAAAATATTCCTTTTGTTTTTTCAAAAGTTGGCAGAGAAAATTAATAAATTACAAGACCTGCGTATTATTATTCTATGAGATTGCTTTATCTCAACAATTAACACATATTAAGTCACAAGATAAAATAGTAGGCTATGTGGACCTAGGGCCATTAGGTCGAAGAAATGAATACGCTGATCACGCGTTAGTTTTTATGATAGTCGGAATTCACAAAACCTGGAAGCAACCTATAGCCTACTATTTTACCAAAGGCACCATAAAAACTGATAACTTAAAAATGTTAATTGTTAATACTATTCAATTATTGCAAAATTCCTGACTTATGTAATGGCTACAGTCTGTGATCAGGGTAGTACCAATCGTGCGGCTATAAGAAAGTTGTAAACTGATGCTTTAATTGAACGTCCAGGTCCCTATTTTTTTGTCAATGAGCAAAAGATTTTTACTTTATTCGATCCACCCCACTTTTTGACCTTTTGAAATCATTGAGAAATTGCTTTTTAAAATATAATATTAAGTTTGGTAATGAAAGTAAAATTGTAAAATTTGCCATTGACAAAAAAAAGAGGTTTCGGGGTCTTTGAAAAACAAGTCAGTCATATATAGATATATCCAACAAAAATTATTTGAAAATAAAAGTTTCTGTAGCTGCACGATTGTTTAGTAACACCATGGCTGCTGCAATGGAGAGCATGGTGGCTAGTCATGGTAATAGTACCGCAAATAAACTACCCGTACAAGCAATGCACAGCCGAATTCATCCACGATATAGACTCGTTGTTTGATTCATTTAATGGTAGAAGTCCTAAATCTGAACTAGGTAAGCCATACAGAAAATGTATTTCATTAAAATCGCCACATCGACATTTTTGAAATCAGTTGTTGCCAAAAATAAATAGCTAGGAATTTATATTAAGCCATGGAACATAAAAAAATACTAAAATGCCTTGCAAGCAAGGGTGGTTAACAACCATTAATGCAACATTGCAACTTTTCGAGGAATGTAGAAGACTTGGTTTTCGTTTTTTAAGAACTCGGGCATTAAATCAAGATCCCCTAGAAAATGCATTTTCGTCTATTAGAAGCTTAAATGGTGGAAATTCAAACCCAAATTGTTATCAATTTTCCTCTTCCATAAAGACTTGGGTTGTTAATAATTTGGTTTCTTTTTCGAATAAAAAAGGAAAAAATTGCGAAGATGATGAAAGCTCAATTTTAGCAAGTCTTCATACATTTCTCGAAGATCATTATGATGATGTGAATCTTTGTATCGATGACAGCGATTTTAAAGATATAGTTATACCTGCAGGTGAACAAAGTGATGAATATGATATACAAACAACTACTTATGTGGCGGGATTTCTAACAAAAAAAATAATTTACTTGGGTGTGAGAAATGCTTGGATGATGTGTTAAGTGACGATATTGAGCCTTATCACACATTCACTCAGTTTAAAGAATATACAGATGACAAGAAAAGACTGACTTATGTAACAAAACATGTAAGCATCACACTTGCAAAGATGCATGATATAGTTTATTATTTATTACCAAACTTTGGTTTTCAATTAGGTATATTAAAAAAAAATCTTTTTGTTGGTAAAAATGTAGATTTTTCGTGGTTATCTGGCATAGATCAAGCTAAAAATATAAAAAAGCAATTTACAGAATATTCAATAGATCTCCTTGTCATTTGATACATTAATGTTTAATGTATTTTATTTTATTTTTGTTCCTATCTAGTTCAAATTTTGTTGTATTTACTTGTTGTCATTTGATACATTAATGTTTAATGTATTTTATTTTATTTTTGTTCCTATCTAGTTCAAATTTTGTTGTATTTACTTGTTGTCATTTGATACATTAATGTATCAAATAATAATAATTATGAGGTATTATATTTTTAATTTATTAAGTATTTGTTGTTTAATATTATGTTTATTATTTATAAAATATACTACATAAAATAGTAAAGTCTTATTTTATTTTTAAACATACCAATATAAAAGTATATCGATAATACAGAATAACCCTGGTATTCACTTAATTCAGAATACCACCGGTATACACTTAATTCATTCCCGTAGCCACCGGGGGCGCTGTAAACAATGGTCCTAAATCCTACCACATGATTTCTACCTCTCTTCTTCCTTTCTCTATGGTACGGGTCTGAGTATAGATTCGAGTACGCATGCTCGTGTGGCGTATTCGAAAAAGTTTTCCAGGAAATTTTTCGAGGCAAAAAAATCAAAGTAAAGTAAAGTAAGTAAGTGAGCAAATATTTAATTGCCATTGATTACTTTAAGGTAAATATGTATTTTAATATTATTATGTTATTAATTATGTAACTACTAATTACCTACTATATTATTTTATAATAATTTTATTATTATAATATTATATATTAATACTATTAGTTATTATTTAAAGCTTAAAAAAACGGAATAGGAATATTTTGTTTTTTAAATAATATGTTTTTAAGTATAGAAAATATTTTGTCAATTTTCTTATAAACCATCCAATCAATATTTTAAAATCTCAAAATTATAGTAGGTAATCGTTTAAAAAGTTCATAAAACACTAATAAAAAGTGACGCAATAAAAGGTAAAGTTTGATGTTTCATAACTTCTAGTTTAGACCTATTTAAACGATTCTATTATTATTTTAAAGAAATATTTTTGGGACTAAAATACATTGTTATTTTATAGCCCAAAACTCAGATGCCTGTTTTTTTTTCATTAATTTTTAAACACGGTATCTAAAAATACCTAATACACAATATAAAAATTTATAAATTAAAAATATTCTGAACTATATTACAAATTTACAACAAGAAATACTTAGAGATACTACTAGAACATAGGTAGGTGCCTATTTTTTATAATATTTTTTGCGATGGTCCATTCCAAATAATCGTAAGTCCATTTAACAGGACAGCATAAAAACCGTCTCATTTTATTCAAATCGTTTAAGTTCAAGAAATTTTTATTATATAAATGCTGTGACTTCTATATCATTACAATAATTTCACAAAAAAGATTTAAATTAAATGAGGCGGTTTTTATGCTGTCCTGTAAAATGGACTTACGATTATTTGTAATTAAGCCAACGAAATGTTAAATTTAAATATGTACTATTTTAAATGTTAATTTTTGTATTACAGGTATATTTTATACATAATAAAGACGTCATGGTTAGACCAACGTCAGATATTTGAACTCACTTTGACGTAATTAAAACCAGTGATGGCAAAAATTCTCGAGCAACATGCATATACTGCTGCTTTAAATATGCATTCCCCTAATGCTACAAGAATGACAAATCATATCACAAATTGTAAAAAATGTTTCAAAATGTTCCAAAGAATGCAACTACTTGCATAGGTTCTTGTAGTCAAACAGCTAAATTATCTCAACTAAGTGCTGAAGAGGATATTTCGGTAGCAAGTGTTTCAGAAGGCGAAAACTCATCGTCTTCATCCACGTCACTCGCTAAAAAAGGAAAAAATATTACGGTATCTTCATCAATAATGTCAAAGTTCTTAGATAACATTACTCAAAATGAATCTGATAAAATTTATGAAGCAAAAGCTAGAGCTCTTTATTTATCTGGATCTCCTCTATCATTATTCGATAATCCATTTTGGAAAACTGCTTTTAAAAGCCGAGTTCATAAACATTTTCAAATCCTTTACTAATAATATGAAAGACTTCGTAGAGCTTCTGAAATTAAAATAAATGATGCGTCCTGCTTGACATAATCATCAGACGGTTGGACAAACATACGAGGAGAAGGCGTTGTTAATTTTATTGTTTGTACCCCATCCCCTGTATTTTACAGAAGTATTCGGCCAGGAGTTGAAAGGGAAACAGGTCAATTTATAGGTAATCAAATGATTAAAGTTATTGAAGAAATTGGCAACGAAAAGTTTTTTCTCATTGTAACCGACAATGCTTCAAACATGAGAGCTGCATGGGAAATAATAATAGAAAAATACCCTTACATATCTTGTATGGGGTGTGCTGCTCACTCGTTAAATCTATTATTAAATAATTTTATGAAAGTTAAGTCATTTTTAAAAACTACAGGACGTGCTAGAAACATCTGTAAATACATTAAGAAGCATCACGTCATCTATGCTGCATTTAAAAATGTCCAAAGTGAAAAATATTCTAACAAAAAAATCACTAGACTAAAAGTGCACTGTAAAACGAGATGGGGAAGTATGGCTGTTACATTAAACAGTATCTTAGTTAATAAAGAGGCCTTACAATATACGGCTCTGATAGAGGACCTCCAAATAGATTCAGCAATAAAAAAAACTTATTCTTGATGACGAGTTTTGGGAAAAAATTCAAACTACCCTAGATATATTTACCCCAGTAGCAACTGCAATTAAAATTATTGAGTCAGAAAAAGCTCTATTGTCAGAAATTCCAGAACTTTTGCATTTCATTAAATATATATTGAATAATAATTTCAATGGTCCACTGGATCATCAAAAAACTCTTTTGAATTATGTTGAGAAACGATTTAAGTTTTGTTGCAAACCCATCCACTTTACAGCTAATCTGTTGGATCCACGCTTTAGAGGTGAAAAGTTAACAGAAGAGCAAATAGCAGAATCGTTAGATTTTATAACAGAAAAAGTAGAATATTTTGGACTTGACGGAGGAAAATTAATTGCAAACTTGGCTCAATATCGCACAAGAACAGGATTTTTTAGCAGAGAATCGATATGGAAATGCTTAATTAACACTAACCCCGATGTTTGGTGGCAAGGACTGTGTACTACTCAGCCGTTGACACCTTTTGCCTCTCGACTTCTAAACGGAATACCATCATCAGCAGCTTGTGAGAGGAATTGGTCTGCACATGGAAATATCCACACTTCCTTAAGAAACCGATTATCTGGACAAAGGGTATTTTATAATATAATTTTATACCTTAAATGTTCTTATTTTTATTGTTTTTTGGTAGAAAAATTAGTAGCAGTGCAGTGTAACTTAAAAGTTTGCTCTGAGGATTCTGCATATGAGTATGCACCTAGGCCATATCCACTGATAGTATTAAATAACGATAAACTTATTGCCCTTAATATTGAAGAAGAACAAAATTTAAATTCATCAGAGGATGACAGTGTAGATGAATTACCGTTGTCTTTACGTAAGGCTTTTCCATGAGAAGAGGCAATTTGCATTTCGTTCAGTTTTATTTGTTTTTTTTTTGTAATAAAGGATATTTTTGTATCTTCAAAAAATATCAGTTAAATTTAATTCAATGTTTCTTATTTTAGTGAAAAATCATCATATTTTTGAAGATATTTCAAAAGTGACTGGATTCTTTGAAAAAATGTAAAGAACAAACTTGTAGAAAATTTAATTTTTTTTAAAAAAGGTCCTATCAGTTGAATCGCTAAGATTGATATTTCTTGAGATATAAAGCGTTTACATTGACAATTTATGAAATTTTTAGGATTTTCGTATCAAACTTTGTATAAATTATTATTTTCAATTGTTTATCAGTAAAATTTCATGTAATTACGTTTTTTCTACAGTCGGGTGATTAGAGAAAAATAAATAACTAAAACAATAAAGCATAATTATTAATAAAATAACATGTTGTATGTAATACACCTCGTTATATCAATTTTTAGGTTAGATATATCTTTTTTCTTTAAAGTTATGTTATTAATAATTATGCTAGATTGTTTGAGTTATTTATTTTTCTCCAATCACCCGACTGTAGAAAAAACGGAATTACATGAAATTTTACTGATAAACAATTGAAAATCATCATTTATACAAAGTTTGATACGAAAATCCTAAAAATTTCATAAATTGTCAATGTAAACGCTTTATATCTCAAGAAATATCAATCTTAGCGATTCAACTGATAGGACCTTTTTTAAAAAAAATTAAATTTTCTACAAGTTTGTTCTTTACATTTTTTCAAAGAATCCAGTCACTTTTGAAATATCTTCAAAAATATGATGATTTTTCACTAACATAAGATTTAGTGACCCGTACCATCCTACATGTGCAGATTACAGCTATGGCACATAAAGCATTTTTGTAGAACTTTTGATTACGAGTGAAACAATCCAATAGCATAAAATGCGGGTGAGATATAGATATTTAAAAAAATAATAATCAAAGTTTACGTGTATTTTAAATGGGAAATCTTTATACGCTTTGGTCGAGTACTTTAAGTTAATATTAAGGGCTCAAATTTTCAGGGAATTTTTTTTGAACATTTTCAACAAGATTTTGAGTTGGGAGCGAAAAAATAAAAATTGTCGTGAAAAAAAAATCACCCTAATGTGCAGTTTAAAAAAACAAAACAGAAAATTTTCCAATACTTCCATGTAACAAAAAAACAATAAAACAGTCAGAAAAATGTTTACGAGAAGAAGATGGAGCTTTGAATTACTTTGTGAGTATAACTTCTTATTTTAATATTATTGTTAGAATGGCTACAGTTTTTTTCTTAAAATCTATTTTTTTGTGTTAAATTTAACAATTAAGAAATAATTCAAAAATTATAACGTATGATTAAAATTAAAAACTGAATAGAGTAGGCTCTGAAGAAAAAACTTTTGTCTTTGATTAATTTTAATAACATAAACATTACACATGCATATAAATATTTATGTTATTAAAATTAATTAAAGACAAAAATTTTTATTTTAGGGCCTACTCTTTTTTTTATTGCCCATTATTTTTGATGTAGTAAAATAACCCTGTTTTGGAAAAATAGCTCTTAATAAAAAAATATTTACGTTTAAGTATTTTAAAATTAGCTTTTTAATTTTTTTTAGAAACAACGCTTAAGCACTCTAGGAGGAATATAAGTTCGACAGATATTAGCTAACATGATGAAATGACAAACAAATTCGGAAAAAATTTCAATTGGGCACAATGGTAAAAAACAATTTAAAGACACAAAATGTGCTGAGGCCATTCAAGGTAAATTTTGTAAATAACTGACATTGACATTATTTAAATTCAATGCAGTATTTCTCAATAATTTATTCGTGAAAAAATAAGATATTATTTAAGGATTTTTTCATTGTTTTTCCAACCACGCTTAAGGAATATGGATTTTAAATTTACTTTACTAAAATTGTGTTTATTTATTTTTCATTTTATGCAAAACTATTTTAAATGAAATAATTTGAAAATTAAGTCCAATTTTTTTTAATATGCTGACTGTATTTGAGGTAGAAAAAGCGTCAGATTTAAATGTGACAAATAATATTAGAGGGATGCAAGACTGGCTACACATTTAAAACAGATTTTAGTGTTCTCCCAGGTGAAAGTTGTAGAGTAAAAAAGTTAGTGTAGAACATAACACTATTTTTAATCGTAAAATATATTTTTTCGTCCAAGTGCGATGGACTGATAGTAGTGTACCACATCAATCTAACTTTACACTAAAATATACCTTTAACACTAGCCAAGCTCTGGCAGTCAGGCAATCAGGGAGTGTTCAGTTGACTAAAACGCAAACTTGTTTCGTTTATTGTTCTCTCAGAATTTTTGTTGGAAGAATGCACCAAGCTGTTTAGTTGTGGTTTATAATTATTAACTAAAGATAAGTCAATTTCAAAGTATTATTATTCATCATGGTTTACAATGTCGAAAATCGCATTTTGTTTTGGTTCATAAGGTCGAAAATCGCGTGGAAATCGACAAATTTTATTTTATTTTAAGTTTTAATGTGCTTCCAACAGGCACGGGCCCAATTACAGGAATACACAGACGTCGGATTCGAACCCACGACCGCTTGTAGTCCGCACCGAGGGCGGTGGTAATTCTTACAATAGCTCAGTTTAATAATAATAATAATAATAATAATAATAATTTATTTCCAACAGGAATACACCCAATTACAGGAAATGTTATTAACAGTACAGTAAAATAAACAATGAACAACATTTCAGATAAATTAAAATCTGCCAAAAAAACATTCAATAATATATGATAGGGGACTATTGTGAATATCACATATATCACTTATGCTATTAAACAAAGTACATATTCTAAATATAGGTGAGCATTGCATTACATTAGTTCTTGGTGCTAGAAGATAAAAAGTATCAGAGTTTCTTGAGTTAAATCTTGGCACTAAGAATTTTAAAGAACTTAATAAAAATGGACAGTCTATTTTATTGTTACATAGATTATAAATAAAATTTAACGCAATTCTATTTCTGCGATCCTGCAAAGAATCCAGAGAGAATCTATTTAATAAGTAATTATTGTCTATGCCTCTTTCAGGGTAAATTCGATCCTCCTTATAAGCGAGATACTTCAAGAACTTTCTCTGGACAGCCTCGATACGCTGGACATGACATGCATAAAAAGGAAACCAAATTAAAACACCATACTCGAGCCTAGACCTAATTAGGCAGTTAAACAAAAGCTTCAAAGCATCAATATTATTAAAATCTTTACAATTTCGAACTATAAATCCTAAGGTTTTAGACGTTTGAACAACTATGTTATTTATATGGTTGTTAAAAGATAGTTCATTATCAAAGGTTATGCCCAGGTCTTTTTCTTTAGTCTTTCGCTCAAGTAAAGTGTCATTAATGGAATAATTAAACTGAATAAAGTTTTTTTTCTTAGTATATGTTACTACTAAACATTTTGATAAATTTAACATAAGTTTAGTTTAATGTATATAATAAGTAAATCGTTTTATTTTTTTATATGTTTTTCTTGAGAGTAAAACATGTCAATGTTGCAAAGTTTAGAAACTTTAAAAATTTGGCCAAAACCTTAGCAGTGCGATACCACCAGATAGCATTTTATGAGGACAACTTTAGCACTGAATTGCAAAGTGGACCTATAGTTAAAGTTCTATTTAGAGATTATCACTTCAAAAATTTGGTATATAATTATAAAGAAGAATTTCCCGATTCGATAGAAATTTTAGTCTCAAAATGGGTAAGAATTGGTTACCTTTATAAAACTACGAGATTTTAAGTAGTGATTGTGGAGATGACTGTGACTACAATCCCATTTTAAGTTTAAATAACTACAAAAAAAAAAAAGGAAAGAACATATTTTTTAACGCAATCTCAACAATTTCTTGGGACTTTATTGATATAGACTTACTCTCAACGGGACAAAAATTTGACAAGCTTGTTATGTTGGTTGAGAGCTCATTTCTTGAAGCTTTTCCAGAGAAACTTTACAACAATAAACCCAACTTTACATACAATCAAAGCTGGTTCAATCAAACCTTAAAGAATATGAGGAATCAACTATCTTTCCTAAGCGAACTCTGCAAAATGCATCCAAATAATAATTTTATCAAAACTCAAAAAAATCTATTCCGCAACAAATATCAAACCGCAATAAAAAAAGATAAAATTGAATGTAATGACAATTTAATTAAAAACTCAAACTCATCTATAAAAACTATGTGGGAAATCATAAATGACAAAAGAAAAAATTGCAAAATACCAACTAAACATAATATCTCTCCAAATAAATTTAACAACTATTTTGTAAGTATAGCTGAATCTTTAATAAAAAACTTAGATATCTCAAAAACCTCTAATAATATCACCAATATTAATTTAAACCTAAACTTAAAAACTAACTTTATGTTTTCATCAACAACTTATAACACTGTTAGAGATGTAATAAAATCATTAAAAATCTCAAATACTCAAGACAAATATGGACTAAGTGTAAACCTTATTAAGGGAATATGTAACCTTATTGTAATACCCTTAACTAAAGTAATAAATCATTGTATAACAAAAAACATATTCCCTAACACATTAAAAGAGGCACTAGTAATACCAATTTTTAAAAAAGGCGATACCAATGACTTAAACAATTACAGACCTATCTTATTATTGCCAATTTTCTCTAAAATATATGAAAAGATACTAGCTAGTCAAATAGTAAATTACTTTGAGGATAACAATGTTTTTTATGCTAAACAATTTGGTTTTAGAAGGACTAGGAACACCACCCAGGCTGTACTAGAGCTAGTTAACGAAATAACAAACTGCTTTGAACAGCATAAACACTTAATTGCAGTCTTTTGCGACCTATCCAAGGCTTTTGATTGTGTTCACCATGAAATACTATTAAAAAAGATGCAGTGCTATAATTTCTCAGACAGTGCAGTTGCTCTTTTAAACTCCTACTTGTCAGAT